GACCCAAAAACCAGTTGATGACCTATAATTACAGGTCACTAGGGTTTCAGTAAACTTCCAGCTAGATTCCGACCATATTTCGGCAAAAAACACCGGCAAAACGGTCGCCGATGTCGTTTGGTTGCTTTCTCCGACAAAGGAGAAGGCAGACCAATTGGTTGCTTTCTCCGACAAAGGAGAAGGCAGACCAACTGGTATTTGGTTTGCCTTCTCCTTCGCCGGAGAAAGCAACCAGTTTGGTGAATGTTTGTTAACTAGTTATTAGTTTTAGAAAATATCATACCTTTTTTTTCCCTAATAAAATTGAATTACTCTAGTTTTAATCATGAAATCTCACAACGACGGTGTGCAATCGGAAAAATTTTTAAAATTAAAACTCTTTGGTCATGGGTTCTAATAACGTTATATTGTGTTGTCACTTTTTGTAAAATTATTAACCCTTTATATCCATGGTTGTTAATCTCTATATAAACTTGTTAATCATAAATTATTTGGAATGTTAAATTCATTAATTTATATATTATATACTTATGGTCTTGTGTAAAGAAAAAGAAATTGTGCGGGCCACGAGGATATCAAGCAAGTGGTTGAAGAATCTTTACATGGATTCTTCTTTGGAATGTGATTCACTGATTCATGCTCCATTATATTGTTCTCTCACTAAACCCACAAAACTCAAATTAGATATAAGTACTAAAAAAAAATGTTTTTTTTTTTTACTTATAGGACAATTGTAAGTTTACTCTCCAATTCTTACAAGTTATAAATTTGACCCCTCTTAATTAATTGGGCACCAAATTGAATGTTTTCATCCCTAGATGAACAAAATACTCACTCCTAAAAGTTACACTTTCGATTCCTAATATATTGACGAAAGACAAAACTAATCATTTTTATAATTAATTAATAAGGATAAATTTGCAACTTAATTACTATTAGAGACTTATGTTACCCTTACACAATAATTTAAGGACTAAAAGTGCAATTTATGTATAGCAAATCATTGAGTTGATCTAATAATTAAGAAGAGTTAATACCATTTGAGGTCCTCTGAGTATAGTGGTTTTGCCACGCTTAGTTCTAAAATTTCAAATTGACCATCTGTGGTCCTTTAACTTTCAAATTTAACCATTCGTGGTCCAAGTTAACTACTCATGGTCCTTCAACTATTAAATTTTAACCAACCATGGCCCTTTCAAGAGGACCACGGCTGGTTAAATTTTGAAACTTGAAGGACCATGGGTGGTTAATTTGGACTACGAATGGTTAAATTTAAAAGTCAAAGGACCACAGATGGTCAATTTAAAAGTTTAGGACTAAACGTGGCAACACCACTATACTCAGAGGACCTCAGATGATATTAACTCTAATCAAGAAATTATTAAAGCAATGGACATAGAAGAAATGCAAATCAATCTTGTCCATTCCTCTTAAAACAATGGACACTATAGATCGGATTCATTTTTTATTGTTTAAGGTTTAGTATTTATGCTTCAGTTTTTTTTTTTTAGTTTAAGATTTAGGGTTTAGTTTTATATTTTTTAGTTTAGGTTTTAGAGTTTATCAATGGATTCACTTTATAGTGTTGTAATATGTACTCTATATTGTTACTAATTAAGTAAACTTTAAAGTTTGAGATAATTGCTTAAATATTATTACGTTTTTTTTTTTTTTCATTCTCTTTACTTTAGAGATGTTAGATTTGCTCAGATGGACAATTAATTATGATGAGTTCTCATTTTTCTCTTCTCATGTGAGTGTGCCTATATGGGTGCACTGTACTCACATGAAAACATATTCACAAGATAAAATTAATAATTAATCTTAACTATCTAATGAGAAAATATTTTACGGATATAATAAAGCAATGCGAGCTGAGAAAAGCCAGCATGACATTTTGATATTTTTTTCAAACTTTAAAGTGCATTCCGCAACACTATAATAAGATGCAATTTTGCATAAGTGCACCTAGTGGTGTTACTAAGTGCACTTTTGTATGAATTTTCGAATTGCACTTAGCAATATTACATGGTGCACTTTGCAACATTATAGAGTGCACTTTTAAAGTACACTTAGCAACACTATATGGTGCACTTTGTAACATTACAAATTGCACTTTTACATAACTTTGGATGCACGCACTCTGTAATGTTGCAAAGTGCACACTATATATTATGACAAAGTGCACTTTAAAGTTTAAGTTATCTATCAAAATGTCACAATGCTCTTTTATTCTCTTTATTTTAGAACCATTAAATTTTGTCATATTAACATACGATTGAGATTGATTCTTAATTTTCTTGCAACAACAAGTTCTCATATGATCCTAACACTACAAAAAAATCAAATTTATCTATGAAAATATCTGTAGATAATAATCTATTGATACTTAATTTACCAACAATTTTTTGTTGGTAAATCAAAAAAAACTTGTAGGTATTTATGCTATAAGTATTTAATTTGTAGCTAAATCCATTAGTTTTTTTTTTTTCCGTTACTAGTAGTTAAATATAAAAGTTAATTCCATCGGAGGTCCATTGTCTTTAGTGGCAATTTCAAATATAATCCCAGATTATCGTTTTTGTCATTTTACATCTCAGACTATCGTTTTTTGGACACTTTTAGTCCTTCTCATAATTTTTTTTTTTTTGTAAGGGCATTTTTGTCTCTTCATATTTTTCTTTTGTTATTTTTTCGGTTTCAACCAGTTTAATTGGTTTAGGACTTTACTAAAAATTTGTTGAAAATATGGTTACTAAAAATCGGAGGTTACCTAAAGTTCTAAACCAATTAAACTGGTTGAAACTGGAAAAATAACAAAAAAAAAAGACAAAAATGCCCTTACTAAAAATAGAAAAAATCATAAGAACTAAAATTGTCCAAAAACAATAGTCTGTGGTGTAAAATGGCAAAAACAATAGTCTGGAACTAAATTTGGAATTGTCACCAAAGACAAGGGACCTCTGGTGGAATTAACTCTTAAATATAATCATATATATAATTAGGTTCAATGAGAATTAGTAATCCTGTGAGGATGTGTGAACTAATCTTATCCGTCCATCTAGGATCAAGGGTCGAAAATTAAGTAAAAAGTTGGAGAAAAAGTGGTGGCATTTATGAAACGCTGGATGTTGGAAAAATAGCATTAAAATGGCATTTTGAGTGATTATTTTGTGGTATAAATATATGTGGGTTTCACTTTCGATTTGGGTCGGGTCAAAGTGGATTCGGGTTCTTCGTAGTGAAATGAAGAATTTAATATAATGTACGCTCAAAATGGATAATAGGTGAATGAGAAATTGATTCTCAAAATGAACCTATTTGAGAGAAGTCAAATTAAGATGAGAAAGCTTAAATCTTAAGATTAAGCTTAATTAAGCTTAATTAGTGTGACAACACGAGTTGTCAAGCTTGAGATTAAGCTTTTGGGAAGCTTAATTAATGTGCTAATTTGTTAGCACGAATTTGGAATTGGGATGAAAGTTGCATGAAAGCTTAAATGTAATTAAGCATTAATAGCATTGAAAGCTTAAAAGAAATGATGCATGGATGAAAGTTTCAAACTTCATTAGTGAATTAAGTTTTGAGCTCCTTTCGTGTGAGCTATCTTTCGTGCTTTCCTTTCGTGAGCTACTTTCGTGCTGAGCACGAGTCAATGCTATATGCATTGATTCCTGCCGCACTGTTTCGGTGCGTGCAGACTATTCGAGTGTGATTTTCGGTCCCAATTCGTTTAACCTTCGGGTTTGTATGGACTTCTCGGTCACTCATATATTTTGAAACGGGTCGTTACGATCGGTACGAATTAATCAAATATTAAGCTCGTGACCGTTGATATTATTTCGATAATAAGTACGACCGTTTCAAACGTTATTATCCAATTATTAAATTGGATTAATGTTGGGTTTTATGTGCCATGAATATGCTATTAAATCTTAATCTCCTATATAAGTTCATAGTAGGAGCAGTTTGGTTTTACTACAATGAAAATAGAGTGAAAAGAGAGAAACAACACAAGAACACACACAAAGAAATTATACTTTTCTTCTCAAAACTCTGCTCCTACTCCAGTCTTGAAGCTGTGTTTTGCCTGTGCTCTTGTTCGCCGGGTTCGTTCGTTTGGGTGCTCAAACGTCGAACCATTGTACGTTTTATCCTGAGAAGCCTAGGCTACAACGCTCCTAGCACTTTTGGGAGGTGACAAATAAGGTTTTAAGGAAAGAAAGGCACCTCGCCTAAGTCGTACTTTCTTCTTTCTTCTTTCTTCTTTCTCCTTCTTTCTTGTTTTGGATTATGCTCTAAGCAAAAATCCATTCTTCTTTCTTGTTGGATTAGAATTATAATCTGAGAATTATTAGTTCCAATTTTTGGTTAATATATATTCATATATCTTTCTCGTAGATATATATGTATATATGTCCGTTGGTTCTGTTATATATATATATATATATATATATATATATATATATATATATATATATATATATATATATATATATATATATATATATATATATTTGTGTGTATATATATTTGTGTGTATATATATATATTTCGGATAAATATCGAATAATATTTTATATACTTGTGTGTGTTATAAATATTATTTTGGGATATTAAATCGATTTGGTTCATTATCACCAACACTGGATAGTGCATCCGCATATAACTAATATACACAAGTGAGTGCACTGTTATAGATCATGAGTGTACTATCTTTTTTTTTAATACTATTAACTCTATTAGAATGTCATATCTGTTCATACTTACTTTCTCAACCTAGCACAAAGAGTCAATGCCCCACCCTGGGGTTCAAATCTGAAACCTCTCATTTGAGGGGCCACAGCTATGCTGCTCGACCACAAAACTTTTGGCAATCATGAGTGTATTACCAATTATTCACGGATGCACTATCAAGTATATATATATATATATATATATATATATATATATATATATATATATATATATATATATATATATATATTTGTAGTCAACTGTTGGTCAAAGAAGAAAATGACAATAAAGACCCTAATATATAATTGTAGCATTAACAAAAACTAGCCCTTTTTTTGTACTTACAAGCAAACCTTGGAACAGACAGGTTGATTCATATATTCATAGATTGAAACTACATTAAACATTGGAAGAAAGAGATAAATGGGCTATGCCCTACACAGCTTGCTGGCAAGTACTTAGGGTATCTTCCTCCTCTATTATTCTGAGCATGTGGTGAACTGCTCCTGCTATCTCGTCAGCACTGTTCAGCTGGCAACCTTCTTCTACCTGCAAAATTTTTAAATATAGTTTTTAAATCCCTAAAGTTAACTAATAAAGAAATCCAAGTACATGAGAGATTAGTTTGGTTAGTCAACACTTTCAATTTAGCAATGATGATAGACAAGTTTGAATCAGTAAAATAAAACGCTTATCACTATGTCAAAAAAATATAACTAATAACATATGTGCGTGCAACTATATTTCTTTATACTTGTTTAGCAATCAACACTACATTTTAATATTGAGATATTGGACTTGACTCTTCAGACTATTAATAATGTTAAGGACTTAAGATACTTAACACTTCAGACCTCCGTCCAACAAAATTTGTTTGAGGTGGAACTTAAACTCAACTCGGAAAATTATTCTATGGATCTAGATCTACCTTGCAAGATGGTCACGAGTTCAAAATACACAATTTACATACTGAATGTTCATAATTTTATAAAAGGTAAATTGTGAACATTATGTATGTACGTAAATTGTTAATATTCAATATGTAAATTGTATATTTTAAACTTGTATTCATATTACAAGGTGGATCCTGGTCCATGGTATAATTGCTGACTCGACCCAAGTAGCCTTCCTCTTGCACTAATTAAGAAGAAGTCATTTGGCTGGAAGGACCATTACTAATCTTAATCAACTCGAGTATTAAAAATAATTAAAGAATACCCCACAAAAAAATTTAAAACAAAAAAAGGAGCCTTGGAATATTTCCTAAACTACGAATGAAGACAACTATGACTTTACTAAGAAAGACCATCAAGAATTGGTAAAAAATACCCTTTTTTGACCCATCATTACCTAAGAAATTATGTGAGAAGCTTTTTGTATTGCTTATCCCCAAAAAATCAAAGGAAAATATATTAAAAACTAATAATAATAATAATAAGAGAGGATTGAGAGGCAATGGCTCATATTTTCATGTGAAAAGTACGTGTAGGCATGTGTAAAGTAGATTCTTGCATTCTCTGGTCATTTTCTTTGATTTTCTTTTTCAAATAACAAACTGAAAAATGATAAACTATACAAATTGTGCTTCAACTATACTTAATTAACACTTTAGGTTTATGAAGAAAAAAATAAAATAATGTTTATACTTTATATTTATAAATTTATTTATTTATTTTGCCTACTTCTTTCAATTTTGTTACAAATAATTATCTTCAAAATCCAAATTAAAAATAAAATTTTAAAAAAATTGTAATTTATATCGCTCCATAATATACCAATTATCAATGTCAATCTTGAATTATTAGTGGTATAAATGTTGCCCTTCAATTTTTAAAACGGTACATATATTGCCCCTCCCGTATCGTACGAGAGAAAAATTGAGCGGCAGCATTCACACTACAGAATGAATAATATATGTATCGTTTTAAAAATTGAGGATCAATATTTACACCATTAATAATAATTCAGGAGTGACATTGATAATTCACATATTACGGGACATAAATTATAATTTTCCCTAAAAATTTTATCTAATTTAACTAAAAAAAATTAGGTAATTTTTTTTTTCCTTTTGAAGATAATGCCAGAAAAGATTTCAATGATTATATTTTTAAATATTATTTTAAAAATATTTGAACATATCAAAATTAAATTGTATTTATCACGTACCTTTGCACTGATTGAATAGAGAACCAAAGAGTCTAAAGTGGTGACGTTTAGGTGAAGTGTAGAAAGGCACATCGACTGAAAGGTGGCCACTATCTTAGAGAGTTGCCGGACTCTTCTTATCGACAAAATTCGAATATTTGCATGCGTTTCGATTAGAGTAACTTCTATGTCGGCAATGGCGGCCTTGCTTTTCGAGATGTACTTGTTGGGGAGCTGTGGCGAGCATGTGTATTGTGGGTACGAGAAAAACTGCGAGAATGGGTTTGGTAGGAACTCGGCGCCGCCGCACTCGGCGGCGGTCGTCGTCGCTCCTCCGCCGCCGCCCTCGCCTCCGCCGCCGTGTAGCAGTTGGAACTTGCGAGCTTCTAGGGATTGCAAGAGGTGTTCGAGCTCCTTCACAAACTCTATGGCGCCCCCAACTATTGAGGCTTGGTCACCCTACAAAAATTTCAACATTTTTTCTAATTTTGTAGCTTTAATGTTTAAAATTAAGTAAAATTTCACAAAATAAAGTAACTAATTTAAATTAAAGTGGCTTGTGGTTCACTGGTACTCGATTATTCCCCTAGGTGGGAGGTGATAGGTTTGAAACTTACTTGAGGCAAATAGTGTGTATATATAGGGTATCCCTTCCTTTATAATAATAATAAAAAAACTAATTGAAATTAAATTATTCAATAAAATTAATTATTAAATTAACTGATAAGTGTAGAAAAACATAAAAGAATAAACTAAGATATTAAAATTTTAACTAATGAAAATGGTATATTTTTGTAAATTAATAAAAATTAAAAAAGTCAAAAGCTTAATTTAAAATGCACTTAGATTAGGTCAACGTTTTAAAATAAATTATTATTTTAAATACTCATGTTTTATAAAATAAACTTATAATTTATTTGTAATTTAAATTAAATTATAAACTTTAAAATAATTTCTACTAATCAGAGTGAATTTAGATTGTTTAATACTGGGTATTTAATTTGTTTACTTGGACGTACTTTTGGAGTAATTAACTTCCATTTTTGGAAGAAATTAAAGAAAGTACTAATAAGTAATAATTTTATGTTAAAAGGTGAAAAAGAAAAGAAAAAAAAAACACCAAAAACATTATAAACTGTTAATAGCAGTAGGCTCATAATCCGAGGATGAATGAAACAAAAGGAAAAGGCTTTTCTGTGGAAGATGTCACTTCAACGAAGCAGCGCTAAGCACTGTAAAAAGCAAAAAAGCAGTCCAAACCAAGAAAGTTCTACTAAAAACTAGAATTATGAATTTGACCCTCAAAGTTCTCAAAATATTATAAAATAATAATAATAATTGATTTTTCTATAATATTTTTACTGGTCTAAAAATGAAAAAAAAAAAATTAAAAATTGGTGTCTGTAAAAATGGATTAAAATAAATTAACTTATCTAAATTAGAATAAGTCTTGATTAGAAATGTAGAATAAGCAATTCATAAAGAAGTAGATATATATACATACCGAATTAATTCCTTGGTATTTTAAATTTATAAGTGAAAATCCATTCTTAATACTTTTATTTGGTTATAGTATTATTGTGTCATTATCATTTTTGTCATTTATCAATAAAATCATTTACATTTTGTAAAATACAAAGACATTTAGGTCTTTAATTATGATTTTTTCAAAAAATTGAGAATAAAAATATAGCACATCAACTCACTTTATATATAAAAAAAATATATATATAATTATATTTCAACGATTTTGTTGATAGATAACCAAAAATAATAATAACACAATAATACTACAATTAAAGTGAAAATATTTGAAAAGAAAAAGAGACTAAATCTAAATTGTCACATTATAGACCAAAAATGGAATTATATACATACCCTTTGAACATAAGATTCCGGCATGAGGGAGCGGAGCACGGCGAGGTGTTCATTCATCTGTTTGCGGCGGTTTCTCTCGACGGCAATGTGAGTTATCCTCTGGGTCTCAGCCTCCTCCTTGTTCTTACAAATCTTGGGCCGTCTCCGCCGCTTTTTCCGGCCGCCGCCTTGCACCGCCAAGTTTTGCTGCGCCCGAGAATGGGGGGTTATCATCTCCGCCCCAGCCGAATGGCGGCGGCGCCACGCCGGCATGGAAGAACAGGCATCTAAACCGCCACCGTCACCGCCGCAGAGGTCCTGACCTGGCTGCTTGGGGGCCACCGCCGCAAGATTGGTAGTTTCAGAAGCTTCGTTGTGGGACAAGGCGGGGGTTGCCGAAAAGGTGTCGTAGATTATGAGGTTGAAGAGCTCATTGGTAGACAGCGCTTCTAAAGCCATGGAAATTGAAGGTTTTCTTCTGGGCAACTAATTAAAACTCCAACTTTCATTATCTGCTACGAATTCAAAGGGAAAGAAAAAGAAAAAAAAGGGTTTTCAGTATCCCAATACTACAATGCAGTCTCGGCTTTCTTCTTCATCATCTTTGTAGCTCTGTGAGAAGAAGAGAAAAGATTTGAATTATTTTATAGGGAAGGCAATATGGGCTTTGTCTGTTCGTTTCTCAGTTAGAAAGAGAGAAAAAGAGAGATTTGTTGCAAGTTTTTTTTGCTTTGCTCCCCTTTTTCACCCACTTTTTGAAGCCGAAAAGCACAACAGCTATGCTACCACTCTCACGTGCATAATACTTCTATTTAGGATTATTTGACAAATAGTTGTTGGTATTGAGTTAGTGAGTTTGAGTAGTTGATAGCATTAATTGATTGTAGAAATATGTTTGGTAATTAGTTGTTAACTGATAGCGTTTTGAAGTAATAAGTTGTTACAAAAAGTTAATTAATCAAACACTTATATTGATTATTTAATTAAGACAAACAGTTAATAGTGGTCAAATAAGGTTAAATTAGCTGATAAGCAAATTATGAATTATGACAAATGTTAAAATCTTAAAGACTAAATTTGACACATGTATGTCCAAAGCTAGGTGGATAATAATAATAATAATAATAATAATAATAATAATAATAATAATAATAATAATAATAATAATAATAATAATAATAATAATAATAATAATAATAATAGATTCCTCAAAATAATAATAATAATAATAATAATAGTAATAGTGATCGAGTAGAAATAATTAATTGGACGTTTGATAGGAGGGATGCCGGTCCCATTAGAAAATAAATTTATAAATTTATGATCACCAAGCCAATCAATTTGGTTGGAATCCACACTTCTATTTCTATTTTGTTAATGTGTAATTAAACAAATAGATAATATATGTTATTTAGTTGTGTTAGTTATTAAAAGACACACTCTATATAATAATAAATCAGATTACTAATGATTTAAGTGGAGCTCTTTATTATAATAATAATAATAATAATAATAATAATAATAATAATAATAATAATAATAATAATGGCGACCTCCGGGACCAGCTTAACAACAATCATTGTGGTGGCCTCTGTGACTAGCTCAACAATAATCGTGGTTAAGTGCAGCAAGAGCCCAGGTACCACCTGTGGATCTTCAGGCGACAGTCCAGATCATTCAATAGGCAGCGGCGGCTCTAAACCAAATGGTGGCAGGGATTCAAGGTCAAGTGCCCCGAGCATCCGCACAAGAAGATGAAGTGACATCACCACGTCGAGAGAAGACCCAACGTCGCGGTGCAACCCATCATACTGGTCATCGCCCTGAAACTCAACCTTGCTCTAGGCGAAGAGAGGTGAAAGGCCGAGGAAAAGGATTTCAAGTAGGGGGCTCTGTCCGACATCGTTCGACCACTTCTATGCCTGTCCTGGAACGATTGGGCGAGAGGGTGACTATCCAGCATAGGTTAGGGCCACAGCAAAGGACTGAGAGGTCATCCACCAAGGGACCGCACCAAGACAGAACCAGGACAGTGGATGAGGGAGAGCGGTTTCCATGGTCAGCAAAGGTGGGAGAGTCTGGAAGGCAAGTTCCACGTCGGTCCACCGTGACCATACAGGAGGAAGTGGTAGAGCGGTTGCAGAAGAAAATAGAGGAACTAGAGAAGAAAATGGAGGCTTGGGAGCAGTCGCCTGAACCCGAGGTAAGGATAGCCGCACCATTTACCCCCAGGATAATGGACGTGCCCATTCTAAAGGATTTTAGGCTTCTAGCTATCAAAGTTTACGCTAGGATCTCGGACCCACGTGCACACATGACAAGGTACAAGGCAGCTATGGTAATGATTGGGGCAGATGACGCCATCATGTGTAGGGCATTATTGTCTACCTTGGATGGGACGACCTAGGATTGGTTCAATACAATCCTGGATGGATCAATCCAAAATTTTGCAGATCTATCAAAAAGCTTCTTGACTTACTTCTCCGGCAGTATACAACGCAAAATGCCTTTCTCTCACCTCTGCGTAATATAATAAATCAGCAAAGATGAGAGAGCCTGAGAGATTTCATGGACAAATGGAATAAGGAGGCAAACAATGTGTATGACTTTGACTCAAAAGTGAAAAGCGGCAATCCCGGTGTTTATTCAAGCGCTTAGGTCTGGAGACTTTCATAGGCAGCTAAACACCCATCATCCTCACTCCTATGAAGATCTAATGAGGACGGTTAATAGCTACGTAAAAGTAGAGGAAGTCTATATGAAGAAAAGAGAAGAAGAGGAAGGCAAGGCAAGAGGAAAGTCTGAAAAAATGAGTCCAGCCAACCAAGTGTCAGGCACGACTCCATCAAAGAAGGGAAGTAGAGATCAATCATCGGGGGGGGGGGGGGGGGGGGGGGGGGGGGGGGGGCATTTGATCCACTTACATCATTTAACCCCACTGACCCATCTAGTTAGCGTAATCCTGGACCAAGCCGAGGAGATGGGGATGGTGCAGTTCCCAGAGGAGTGTATGAAAGTTTCCCCTAAAGTAGACTAGACAAATTAAAGTATTGCCGGTTCTACCGGCAGGTTGGCCACGACACTAACGAGTGTCACGTTCTGAAGAGAGAGAGAGAGGAGCTCATTCAAAGGGATACTTTACTCAATTTGTGAAGCATCCAAGGCAACAGCAACATCACCAACAACAAGGCTAACCTAAAAATGTATGGCTAAAGGAAGAGGGCCCCGAACCATCCGTTTCTAGCACGAAAAAGAAGGGGTATGATGAGATCATGGAAAAGGGAGACAAGAAGTTAGAAGAGGAACCTACGCGGCGCAAAAAAACATGTTATTCCCTAAAACACACAAAACCTAAGACTATTGATGTAACTATTGGTCACAGTCCGCCCTGATCAATTATGTTGAATGAAAAAAAAAAATTCTAGTCTTGTCCAGAGAGCCCTTTGTATTAAAAATGGGAGGTCGAGGTTGTGTCTCGTACTCATTTAAATGAGGCTTGTCTTGGTTCAAAATAAAAAATAAAAACTCGTACACTCTATTCCTTAAGGACCGGCGCGAGATCTGATCGTGCTAGCTACCCCACGGCAGGGCGTCTTCTCGGTCAAGCTCAAGGCTAGATTACGAAAGCGTTATTCCCTTGGTTATACAGGATAAGGAGTATGATAGATATATTTTGCTTGAATTTTTTGAGTTGTGGGATAGAGAACTGATTGTCAATATTCCTTTGAGTTCACATCGAGTAGAGGATATGTAGTTTTGGGCCTTGGATGAGAAGCGGAAGTTTACTGTTAAGAGTTGCTAACATTATTTGGTGGGTGAGTTTTGAGGGGAAAGTTGGAAGGGGTAGATCAGTGTGTGGAAATATCATATACCCTCGAAGGTGAAGCTTTTTTTTTTTTTTTTTTTTTTTTTTTTTGTAGGTTTGTTTATGTTAAACAATGAACTAGAGAACTCAACTTGAACTGTGTATTTACTGATGAACTATACAGGGAAAACTATACCTATTTATACAAGCAAAAGACTAACTACACCCATAGGATTTAAATATTTAAACCTAGGATTGAGATTAATTCTCTCAACCAATACCCATTTCCTCTAACACTCCCCCTCAAGCTGGAGCATAGATATCAACCATGCCGCCCAGCTTGTTACATATATAACTAACCCAACTCCTACCAAGCCCCTTTGTAAATAGGTCAGCTAGCTGATCACCACTACGAACATGTATAGTAGATATCAATCCTTGTTGCACATTTTCTTGTATAAAGTGACAATTAACTTCAATATGTTTAGTCCGCTTGTGAAAGACAGGGTTATTTCTAATGTGTATCACATCTCGGTTATCACACCACAACTTCACTGGCAACTTCATCTCCAAACCATCCTCACTCAGGATATTGTGCACCTAGACTATTTCACTCGTCATATGAGCCATAACTCGGTACTTTGACTCTGGACTAGATCGTGCCACAACACTCTGCTTCTTGCTTTTCCACGAAACTAGATTGCCTCCCACAAATACAGTACCCAGTAATAGATCGAGCTTCTATCACTAGGCGACTCAGCCCAATCAGCATAAAAAAAATGCTTCAATATTTGCGTGTCCATGATCGACATACAAAATCCCTTTTCTAGGAGCACTCTTCATATACTTCACAATTCGAACATCCGCTTCCCAATGAGTATGTGTTGGTGCACTCATAAACTGGCTCACCACGCTTACTGAAAAAGCAATATCTAGATGGGTAATCGTGAGGTAATTAAGCTTCCCTACCAACCTCCTATACCTCTTTGGATTTCCAAAGGCTTCTCCCTCTCCAGCCACAAGTTTGACCCCTTGATCCATGGGAAACTCACATGACTTCGATCCCAGCAACCTAGTATCCTCAAGCAGGTCTAACACATATATCCTTTGTGAAAGAAATATACCTCTCCTACAGCGATCAACCTTAATGCCTAGGAAATATTTTAGAACTCCTAGATATTTAGTATGAAACATAGACCCAAGGAAGGACTTAAGGGAATCAACGCATCATCGCCTATGATTACTATGTCATCCACACACTATCAACAAAACACAGCCATAATTAGTACGCTTATAAAAAAACAGTATGATCACACACACTTCTTTGCATCCTAAACTTGATGATTGCAATACTAAATCTAACAAACCACGCATGTGGTGACTGTTTCAAATCGTAAGAGATTTATTCAGTTTGCACACCTTTCCAGACTCCCCATGAGCAATAAACCCAAGTGGTTGCTCCATATAGACTTCCTCAGATAAATCACCATGCAAAAAGACATTCTTCACATCTAACTAGTACAAATGCTAATGATTAGAAGCAGCTAAAGAAATTAATATACGGACAAAAATCAATTTTTCCCGTAGGAAAAACGTCTGTATAATCTATACCATACGTCTGTGCATAACCCTTTAGCCACCAAGCGTGCTTTTAATCTAGCAACAGAGCTATCAGGGTTCATTTTAACAACATAAACCCACTTACACCCAATAGCAACCTTACCAGTCGGGAAATCAACAAGATCCCAAGTCTGATTCTCCTCAAGAGCTATCATTTCTTCTACCATTGCATGCCTCCAGACTCTAACCATTATGAGACAGAGCCTGACTTAAGGACTTTGGGACCGAGACAGAATCTAATTGAGACACAAAAGCATGTGAAGAGAACGACAATCGGTTATACGAAACAAAAGAAGAAAGGGATGAACACAATGGCGTTTACCTTTTCGAAGGGCAATA